GCAAGCCACCATATGGGTGCTGGAAATCAACCTGGATCCTCTGGAAGAACAACCCCGTGCTCTTAAGTACCAAGAAATCTCTCCACACCTAGATGAGTCGTCTTAAGCCGCAGGTCAATGCCGAGTAGGTGACTGGCTTCCTAAAGGGATACAAGTGCTGAAAGGTTCCTCTCCCTATGTATAAACTACTGGCCACATCCAGCCGAACCCCATTCATTCTCAGCAAAAGGGTACCCAGTCTGTAGGCTGCACCAGCTCTGGAGCCACTGCTGAAAGCCATAAAGAGGAGTCATAATTTACTGTATTGAATGTACCTGCTAAACATTAGTCAGATGATGATGCAAATCAACATAAATGCCAAGTGCTGACAGCTGAAGGAAAGATTCAGGGCACTAGGAGAGCCTTAACTATGGTCACTAGGGGAATCAGCGCTGTGAGACTGTCCCTCGGCCCCCCAGGCTTCAGCTGACCATTTAAAAGCAAGGTGAAATCAAAGTGGTCAGTTGCTTCCAGTTGTGGCCACCATACTTGGTTCAACAAGCCGAATTAAATCAGAGTTTCTACCTTAACAGCAAAGAGAAGTAACTAGAGCCTTTTAGCAGGGTTCGGGGTGGGATACTTACAACATGCCTGGGTTAGGGCACTAACTACTGAGAAGACAGAAACTTGAACTGAAAAATGCTATAAACAGACATTTCTTGTACTACCACCGGATCCCAAATAACTGACTCAGAGGCCGAATATGAATTATAAATGCTCAGCCAATAGCTCAGGCTTGTTATTAGCTAACTTCTACATTTAAATTAACCCATATTGTTATTTATGCTTTGCCATGTGGTGGTACCTTTTAACACACCTATTAGCATGGCATGTTCATCTCCTGCTTCCTCTGCATTTGGCTGGCAATTCCTTTCTCTGCCCTTCTTCCCATCATCCTTGGTTTGGTTGCCCTGACTATACTTCCTGCCTTGCTAGTGGCCAATCGGCATTTTATTAAACCAATTTGAACAACAAATCATTACAGTGTACAAGAGGATTATTAACATAGTAAGATTATATACAATAAAAACAGTTAGCAAGTAAGAATTATAGTTACAGTATCTAGCCTATTTTTATTTGGCAAAATTACAGAAAATACTCTTATCTATCCTATCTTGGTGAGTTTAAAGTGTTGTACCTAATGCATTTTTTATCCTAATTTTTATTTGTAGTCAGAAGATTTCCTGATCCCGCCAAGCCTCTGCAGTCCCATGGCCCACTTATAAAATAATCACTCAGAGACTTAATATTATTTATAACTGCTCAGCTGTTAGCTCAGGCTTATTACTGACTAGCTCTTACACTTAAATTAACCCATATTTCTTATCTATATTTAGACATGTGGCTTGGTACCTTTTCTCAGTTCTGCCTTGTCATCTTGCTCCCTCTGTGTCTGCCTGGCAGACACAGAGAAACATGTATTCACAACATATAGAATGGCATCCCACAGCACTTCCCCTTTTCTGTCTAATCAAAAAGGAAGGTTTTAACTTTAACATATAGTAAAATTACATAGATAGTTATCAAGAAAGAATTACAGTTACAGCATCTAGTCTATTTGTATTTGGCAAAATTAAAGAAAATATTCTATCTATCCTATATTTGTGAGTTTAAAGTTTCATATCTAGCTGGGCGGTGGTGGCACACGCCTTTAATCCCAGCACTCGGGAGGCAGAGCCAGGCGAATCTCTGTGAGTTCGAGGCCAGCCTGGGCTACCAAGTGAGCTCCAGGAAAGGCGCAAAGAGAAACCCTGTCTCGAAAAACCAAAAAAAATAAAAATAAAAGTAAAAAATAAATAAATAAATAAATAAAGTTTCATATCTAATTTATCTTTTATCATAACCAAGGAAAATTATAATTATAACTATCTAGTTTTCAACTACATCAAAGACCCCAGAAGGATATAATATTACCTAAGTAAACAGGAAATGCATTGTAAACAACATTCAAAACTCTGGAAATGACAGAGACAGCTGCCTGCCTGAACAGTCATCCAAAGTTCCTCTTCAACTTTGGGGCATCCATCTTCAGCCCATAGGCCTAGAGTCTCTCAGTTGCTTCTCTCTGTGTCCTGTGGGATGTCTGGCAGTTTCTACTGTGAAGCAGGAATGTGAAGGACCATCTCGCCTTGCAAAGTTCAGTGGTCACCTTCCAATGGGTCCTGCATGTCTAGTCCATACAACATTTTTTCAAGCAGTCCAGGCATGAACAGTTTCTTGCCCAAATGGCTATTTTTGCCAAGAAGATAAACTCCATATGGAGTGTCTTTGATGCCCATCTTCCTCTTTGAAATAAATTGGTGCTGTCAGGAGCAGACATGTTTCACTGTCCAGGAAAGTCTTAAGTTTTTAAAACATTTTAAATGCCATAGTCTGTGGTCTTTGAAGTGTTTGAAGATTACCTACCTAATTGAAATATATCTATGTATACCTAGAAAAGTTAACTGACTACAAGTGTGATTATCATAGATGACTAAATATTAATCTGTATTTCTCAACTATACACTACAATTTCAAATGAGTTGCACAAAGTACTTTAAACAAGAGTAGAAATATACATACTGTATAACAAAATTAACTTCAAATTTGTAATAAACTAAAATCTATAGCAATGTAAAACATTTTAAACAAGTTGCTCTTTAAAAGTAGGTTCAATAATCTACCCTTTCATCCCATCATATCTATATCATATCTCCTTTCATTCTTTTACAAAGAGATTGCATTTATAATTAACCCTCTTTTAATAAAAATAAACATTTATAAACAATATTTTGGGAATTTGGGCATAGCTTTTCATACTACTTCCTGCTGGTTGAGGGCACTGGCAATCTAATGGGGATCCTGAGAAAATAAAGAATTATGGTCAGGTCCTTACTGGAGTAGTCTGTGAAGCTGCATTGTCTGAGCCAATCGCCTTTAAGCGATTGGATGTTTGGATGTTGGATCATCTGGGCCTCTCAGGGGGTCTTCCTTGGTCAAACCATATGAGCCTGAAAGTAATCCATAGAGTCTCATCTTCTGTGGAAACAAAAGCAGAACCTCTTTTCCAAAGCAATGTATCCTTAGACATAAATTTTGAAGTCAAGGTATCTTTAATATATATATTTAACTCAGCAGTTTTTACAATCAAATGTCTCTATGCAGTTAAAAATCCCAAAGACAATATGGCTTAACTTTTATATTACTTTTACTGTCTCTTTAAAAGACTTTATTTTTTAAAACTATCTTTTTTTATATATAACTGTCTATATTTTGTTTCTTCTCTTTTCCAAGCGCACATACATTGTTACACACATCGTAAACTTTTTAGGGTTTTTGTCATCTGCATTTGTCTTATTCTGAATCTATAATCCTTCTCTGACCAGGAGAGACTTTAAACTGCTAAACTGTGTGGCCAGGATGAAAAGCAGCAGCCTTGGCGGCTGACTCCGCCCATTTCAGCTTTTTAACATGGCAGAGGTAATTTACCTCCAGCTCTGGGCCATGTGTACCATCAACTCTCTGAAGCAATGGGTCTATGCCTCCATTAAAGCAGTGTGTAGCCCAGAAACCTCTTTTCTTTCTTTCTTTCTTTCTTTTTTTTTACTGGCAAAATCTATATCCACCATGTACCATGTTTCGTGGCTTGTAGGAGTCTGTGTAACTTGGCGGAAATCTGCCATGCTGTGCTCGAGCCCAAATGCTGTGGTGTCTCGTGGCCTGCATGAGACATGAAGCAGGAACCTATTCTTGACTCTGTTTAGAATTGCTTATTAAGTATTCTCAGGTTTCAGGTGGAAACTGGAGCCGACATGTGGGTGCCATTTGTGGCTGAAGGTTTTTCTGGTCCCGCCCAGCTCCCATGGCCCCACAGTCCCACAGCTGTTCAGATCCAAATGAACACAGAGGCTTATATTAATTATGAACTGTATGGCCTAATGGCTCAGACTTCTGGCTAGCTAGCTCTTGTATCTTAAATTAACCCATTTCTGTAAATCTATACTTTGCCAAATGGCTCATGGCTTACCAGTATTTTTACATCCTGTTTCTTCTGGAGGTGGCTAACAGCATCTCCTCTCTCTTTTTGTATTACCAATCCAAAACTATCTTTTTATGTCTCTCACCATTATACACTTTACAACTCTTTTGTGAGTGTCTTTTCTGAATTTGGGTAGCAAGGAAAACTATAACTCTATCTAGTCTTCAACTCCATCAGAGACCTGAGAAGGATATACTATTACCTGAGTAAATAGGAAGTGCAGAGCAAACAACTTCCAAAACTAAGAAATGACAGAAACAGCTGGCTACCTGGACAATCACCCAAAGCTCCTCTGTAACGTTGGGGGGCCTATCTTTGACCTCCTGTTCCCTCTGTATCTGGCTGGTGATTCCTCTCTCTGCCCTTCTCCTTCCCTTCATCCTTAGTTTGGTTGCCCCACCCATACTTCCCGCCTGGGTACTGGCCAATCAGCTTTTTATTAAACCAATTTGAGTGACAAATCTTTACAGCGTACAAGAGGACTATTCCACAGCAGCCTGTAGGCAAGTCTGTGGGTTATTTTCTTGGTTAATGATTGATGATTAATCATGAGTGGTACCATTCCTGAGTAGGTGGTCCTGGGTTGTATAAAAAGGCAGGTTGAGCAAGCCTGTAAGCAGTGTTCCTCCATAGCCTGTGCTTCAGTTTCTGACTTCAGATTCTGGTCTTGAGTTCTTGTCTTGTCTTACCTTCATGATGAACTACAATTATAAACAGAAATAGACCCTTTCCTCTCCAAGCTGTTTTTGGTCATGGTGTTTTATTACAGTAACTAATATCAAACTAGGGTGTAATTGACTGTGCCAAGTTTGGTGGTGCATACCTTTAATCCCAGTATTCAGGAAGCAGAGAGCCAGGTGGATCTCTATGAGTTCAAGGTCATTATGATCTACATGGAGGGTTCCAGGCCGGCCAAGGCTACACAGTGAGACCCTGTCTCAAACAACAACAATGATAATATTTATTTTAATGTTTACATGTCTAAAACTTTGACAGAGTAAACTTCAAAAGCCAATGTGATACAAGTGTGCTTTCTACACGTGGTAGATCCTAAGATCTTTTCCTTTTAAATGAATGCACAGAACAACTCTATGAATCCTGGCACAGGACAGAGTTCACAAGAGAGTGGGGTATCTTCCTCTTTTCACAGAGCACCTCCTTTGATTACAACAGCCTCATGGTAGGATGATGAGGATTCAGCATTGAAGAGCTTAGAGGCAGGTTACATAAGGAGGTAATAAAGTAGAAGGCTGGGGGGGTCTCACCTCTGGCTTTTTTTCTCCTCTTTCTTCCTAGCCAAATCAACAAATTCAGAGTTGCAGAGAGTACCGTTCAGCCCATCCTCACCCTATCCCCCTTCCTATCCAGTGCCCTCTACCAACCTGCCATGGCTCTGATAACCAACTCGGTTCACACAGACTCTCAACTAACTGATACTCAGAAGTGTGGGGAGCCACACTGATACTTCATACCCACACTGTAGAAATGGTTTGTGGTCTGGGAGCCTTCTCTTGTGTAGAAATTTGTGAGGTTGAGATCGTGCAGTCAACTTGGCATCGCTAGAAGAGATAACTGAGATAATGAACTTTGAGAAAGGATTTGTTAGACTCACAGCATGGAGGTTCTGTCCATGATTGGGTGGCTCTATTGATCGGGGATTGCGGCAAGGCAGTGCATCATGGTGGGAGGGTTTGGTCGACAAAGCTGCTCACCTCCTGGCCAGAGAAAGAGGCAAGAAGTGGGGAAAAAGAAGAGCCTTGAATTCCATTATCCCCTTCAAGACCATGGCCCCAGTGACCTGAAGACCTCAATAGTCCCTACCTTGTGAAGCTTCTGCTGCCCCTCAGTAGTACCACATCGAGGACCAGGCCTTTGGGGGAACAGTCAAGATCCAAACCCAAAGCACAGATGACCCATCAAAATAAATTAACCAAATGTGTCAATTGACAGGTGAATTGCTTATACCTGGTCCCTCACCAGAGAAACAGAGACAGGGTAATCCCTGAAACTCACTGGAGCCAGCCTAACCCAGTCAGTGAGTTCTAGGCCGAAAACAATGTGGCCAACTCTTGAGGAACAACACTCAAGACTGACCTCTACTGTATACAAACACATGTGTGTGTTCACACACGCATGCGTGTGTGGTAATATTATGTTCCCCAAAATATTGTGCACCCTAATAAACTTATCTGGAATCAGAGAACAGAACAGCCACTAGATATAGAGGCTAGAAAATGGTGGCACACATGCCTTTAGTCCTAGCACTCCAGAGGCAGAGATCCACCTGGATCTCTGTGAGTTCAAGGCTATACTGGAAACAGCCAGGCGTAATAACAACAGCTTTTAACTCCCAGGAAGTGATGGCAGGAAGCAGAAAGGTTTTTAAGGTACTTAAGGCGTGAGGACAAGGAACTAGAGCCTGGTTAAGCTTTTAGGTGTTTGAGCAGCTGTTCAGCTGAGACCCATTTGGATGAGGACACAGAGGCTTTCAGTCTGAGGAAACAGGATCAGCTGAGGAGTTGGTGAGGTGAGGAAGCTGTGGCTTGTTCTGCTTCTCTGATCTTCCAGCGTTCACCCCCAATACCTGGCCCTGGGTTCATGCTACATGTGTGCACATACACAGGAGAATGCACACACATGAATCCACATCAACACGTACTTGCACAAAATGAGGGAGGAATAAAATAAAGGTAGGATTCTTACGTTTTTCTTTACTTAGGAAACATGAAAGGTGTTTCTTATGAGAACGTGAATGCTAACTGTGTTCAGAAGCTGCTGCCCTCAGAGACTAACCATGTCTGATCTTCCAGCTCCAGCTCCAGATAGACTCTTCCTTAGTCTTGTTAGTAGAGGACCATCGTGACCACAGATTCTCAGCCGCAGCCAGAGCCACACAGTGTTTTGAACACAGCACTCAGGCACCTCACATAAGGTCCTGTCTGCGTGCATCTAGCATGACACGTGTTTATAAACAGTCTAACGGTTGCAGCTGATTCCATGAGGCTGACCCCAAGGGAAACAATGCAAAATATTCACCCCTCTCTGAAGTGCAGTAAAACTCCTGTGGTCTTTTGAAACCAGGCCAATGGCACATGTAGAAACTCTCATGGACTATTTTAAGTGAACTTATGGTTTTTTTTTTTTTTTAAATCTCATTAACTTCTTGCCATATGCTGTTTATTTTGTATACCCTGCATAGACTAAAAGAGAAAATAGTCTAAGGCACTGGGTTTCATCTCAGGGACAACTTTATGAGAATGACATACACAAACTCTGGAATTCCCTGAAAAATAAAAATAATTTTTTTTAAAAAAGGACTTTATGGAAAATAATATTTTTAAAACAAGCCAGGAGGCCAGCAGGAAATCTGCTTCCCACACTAGGCACAGCATGTTAACCACCAGGCTCTTCAAGATACCTAGGCAGAACTCAGAGTCACATCCCAGCTCTCTGTGTACAGTGTCCACCAGGTCTGGGCAGTTTTCTTGTCCTTGTAGAATGTGAATGCTAGGTTGTATATAACATGAAGTACTAGACTAGGTATGCGCCTGGCATACATGAAACCCTGGGTTTGATCCCCAGCACCAAATAAACCCAGAGTGGTGGTACAGGCCTATAATTTCAGCAGGAAGTGGAAGGAGAAGTTCAAGGTCATCCTCAGCTACATAAGAGTTCAAGGCTAACCTGGGCTACATGAGAACTCTGTCTCAAAGAGATGGAAGGAAGGAAAGAATGAAAGGAGGGAGGGAGGAAGGGAGGGGAGGAGAGGGAGGGAGGAAGGAAAAGGGGAAGGCAGAAAGGATGGCTAAATGCTACCTGATTCATACCATAAATGAAAGGCTATATAAATCATTTAACATATTGCTTGGAATTAAATAGAGAATTAATTTCCAAGTATACTTTCTGGTGTGTGATTTCAGGAAATCAGATATACTCTAATCAACCCCAAACATTTTTCTTGCAACATGATTAAAATTTCCACATTAAAGACATGTGAATTTATTCCTTTCTCCAAAAGTTTTAAGCCCTAGCAACATAAAATTTTGCTTTGAACAAGCATCCCCAGGAACTTCTTTCGGTTATGTAACTGCTTACGAAGGGCTGGGGATGGTAGCTCAGTGGTAGAGTGTTTACCCAGCAAGTGTGATGCTATGGGTTCAGTTCCCAGTTAGGAAAAAGAGTCCCGTATAGCCATATTTCAGATACATTTCTGAAAGCCTGTCTGGTGTGGATACATAGAAGAGAGAAGACACAAAGTGACTGTGAGACCAAGGTGTATCTGTGGACAGATGACAGTTCCCCCTCGTCATCAACCTTGGATATTCATGGGCAGAAGGTAGGAACGGAAGGGCTAGACATAGGGCTCGGTGGGTTAGAGTGCTTGCTGTGAAGGCATGAGGACCTGAGTTCGAATCCTCAGAACCACATTAAAAAGTAGAGTATGGTTGCGTGTCACCCTGGCATTGGGTGACAGAGACAGATCCCCAGTGCTCCCTAGCTAGCTGTCAGAGGTGAGATGGTGAACTTCAAGTTCAGTGAGAAACCCCATCTCAAAGCAACCAGGTAGAAGGTAGTATCAAAAGATTCCTTGTATCCTGCACTGGCTTCCACAGGTCTGCACACTCAAGTACACACGACTCACACGTAGCACACGGCGTACAGAAGAAAGGAGAGCAGGTCGAGAAGAGAAATAAAAAACGACAAACCAGTCCTGCAAAAGATTTCCATTCCATGCAAACGGTTTAGTCCCTGAGGCTTCCCACCATTTCTTAACATAGTTGCCGTTGCTCACCATGATGGTTCATTGGCTAGAGAATCGAGGCACTGAGATAGTGTGGGCCCAAGTGAATCCCCAGGTTCCATGGCTACAGAGGACAGTGGGTGATAGGGAGTGCCATGACTCCTCCATTGAGCAACACCAGCACCGAGGGGAAAGTGACAAGGGACAGAAGCTGCTGGCTGTTGACCTCTGGAGCCCACGTTCCGTGTTCGGGGAACAGCGGACAGCTGTGGTGCCTTTGGCTGCAGTGATAAAATGAAAAGGATCGATGGCTTCAGTGGAGATAAGAGTTTACCTCACCCGAGTGGTGACCCAGGGAACAGAGGGAAGGAGGGCAGGGAGGGAGGGACGGAGGAGCCAGGAGCCAGGGAAGGAGGGGAGGCTAGAAAAACTGGGAGTGATGGAGACACTGTTTCTAGAAAACACTGGCTCTGGAAGAAAAACAATGTTGCAAATTACAATGTATCCTCTGATGTGTTTGTCATTAAGTAACCTAGACTCATTGTCTAGTCTGAGATATGTCATTGAGGTCAGAAGTGTTACGCTCAAGGTGAATTTACGAAAATGAAGGAGAATCTTTAGCCTTTTCAATTACCATTCTTCCCCCTGACCTGTGGACAAATTCCTTGCATAAGTGTTCTTCTTTTTCTTTTCTTTCTTTTTTTTTTTTTTTTTATCTCAAAAACCCTGGCACGCTCTGACTTCTAACCTCCTCTGGCTGCCAAAAAATTTCCCATTTGTGATTTCCAATAACCTCCTTTCTTCTAGAAACACACACCACACCACACCACACCACACACACACACACACACTACACACATATCACACACACACACACCACACCACACACATACACACACACATACACCACACATACACCACACACACACAAACCACACACACCACGCACATACACCACACGCACACCACACACACACCACACACATATACCACACACACATATACCACACACACACACCACACACACATACCACACACACATAAACCACACACACCACACACA